AGGGTTAGGGGTGTGGCCGGGTATCCATGGGGCGGGTACCCCCAAACCCGAGCCCGCCCCAACCCGCATAACAAGCCATCGGTTTTAAACCCGAACCCGGTCATACCAGTTTTACTCATTTTGACCGGGTTTGGTCTGGTCGGATACCCGCGGCTCCGAATTTCATTGCCATCCATATCCACAATAGCTATTAACATTATATCACACCATCTAATATCACCAGCTACTCTCAGAGACATAGTGCTCGACTGACCTAACTCCTAAGCTTAGGAATGACCATCTCTTAATCTCTAGAAGTTTGAATGAAATTGGGAATAACCTGGTGAGGTGGATTCATCGTAGAAGTAGGGCGAGTCCCACCTAGCATGGATGCTCTTATTGATGCCCGCCATAGGTCGTCCTCTTCTTAATTGCCCGAGATACCACCTCCTTATCCCTACAAAGCATGGGAAAAACGAAAGATTACTGGAAAAAAATGAACGATTTACATATAGAGCTCAAACATTCACCTACCCTAAGATTTTAAAGTTTTGGATCCCAATTGTTAGAAGGACGTTGAGAATAACCTGATAAGAATCCTGAACTCATGATAAATCTCCTACTATAGCTTCGAGTGCTGATAAACTTCACTTCACAACTTGTGAGGCAACTGCGAGCAGAGACGAAGAATTCTTCATATGCGGTGGGTACAAAAAGCAAGAGGGAGAATCATTGTTTGCTCTATGGCGGTTTGGGAGTGTACTCCAGGGATTGGTTTTAGGAGGCAAAGAGCGAGGATGGAGAATGATTCATTGCTTGGAGGCGCGCGGGGGGGGGGGGGGGGGGGGGGGGGGGGGGGGGGGGGCTTTGAAGTGGAATTACTAGGTTGGTCTGGGAGACACAGCAATAGCGAGTCAGGGACAGAGCACATGCAACAAACGCAGCGACGGTTGGAGAGGTAGTGAGAGGGCGGCAAAAAAGGTGGAGCTTGTGATGAGGGTCGATGAGTAGAGAGGCCGCCGGGAGGAGTTTTCCTTTGAGTTCGAGTTTGCCAAAAAGGACGGCGGAGGATTTTGATCTCAGAATGCGGTTGGAATAGTCGGCGAGAATGAATTCTTCCAATTCTGGTTTGAGGTTAGAAATTTTGATTTTAGATTGCGGGCTGCAGATGAGAAGGAACGACGAGGTAGCGTTTTCACTTTCTGGTTGGAGATTGGAAACATACATAGCGAAGAAGAAAGAGTATGAATTACCGGGAAAAAAGGAGTATGAATTGACAAAAGAGTCCCTCTGAAGTGTGCGGTTGTTTGAGTAAAGGGTGACATGGGAAAAGCTGTTTTTTGACATTGCCTTATTGTGTTTTGTAGATGTTTTGTTTACCATTTTCCTATTTGTTTAAATATAGAGTCAAACTAATTAAATTACGGACTAACTAGTGATTAAGGTAATAATATAATATCAATTGAGTATTTATGTTAATAATTGGAACAATAATACAATTATTATTTTTTTTAGTCGATGATTCAAGATATAATATGTACAACCTATATACAATTTTGGATGACAATGTTTATTATTTCAAAAGTTGTCATTATAAATATAAAAAAAGACTTTGTAGCGATTTGTAATGGGGTTTTGAAGCTGGGGTAGAAAGTTATGGTCGATTTTGATTTCGATAGGGATCACTACGTGTGGCTCGGGTTCTTCCCTACTAGCTTGAGTAGCAAATGTAGGAACGTCGATTGATTGATTTGTAGTTGTATAGGAAAAAGGAAAATGATCGGTTGTTTCAAGCTATGAAATTCGGTGAATCCCGAGAGAAAATGCTTCATACAGGTGTCCCGGGGCTTCACATCGAACGAGTTAAATAACACTTTAAAAAAGTGACTAATGCTATAAGTAGACAAATAGCATCCGAGTGAAGGAAAATCTCAGTCATGGAACTATATGAATTTATTAAGCTGAGAGAGAAGGTATCCTCTTACTCTGAAAACATAGAGGGGGTGATGTCTGATGAAATGGGCTTTGATGTTCAAATATTCAATCAAAAGTGTGGAATATACTGTGACCACGTTATCTGAAAGCTGAAGAGTAGCATTGAGTTTTGAAGTCTGTTGCATGATTGCATCTGCTTATTCTATCTGCATGTTGCTCTATTTATAAGCATGTTTTCAGAGTCACTCCCAGCCTCTGTTTACAATTCTTTGGACAGGGTTAACAGGAAGTTCATTTGGGGAAAGAAGATGAAAAAGGAAAATTTCACCTGATTGCGTGGGAACAACTAACTCTTCCAATAGATCAAGGAGGCACTTGAATTCGTCCCACAAAATTGGCAAACCAGGCAATGCTTGCTAAGGGCAGTTGGAAACTGGCAACAAGGGAAGAGACTCTCTAGACTAGACTTCTACTTGATAAGTATGGTGGCAACAGAGAAGGCATTGACATTCTTCAAAAGAAACAGGGAATTTCTATGGGCATGTATTAGCTAACCCGCGTTATAGTGTTTGTTAGTATTATTAGTATAAAATTAATTTTTTGTTAACAATTTTGTTAGTAATATGGACTTGACAATATGATATTGACTGAGAAGAGATATATGACGGGTCAACATCCGATTTAAAGTTTTTTTTTAATTTTGGCTAATAAATGAATCTAGAGAGAAGCAAAAGGAATACAAACTGGAACTCGCTTAAAATTTCACACCTTTAAATCTCATAGTGGAAAATGATGACTTTCTAATAAGTAATAACCATAGATATTTATTTTTAATAGGACTCGACATTGAGCGAAAAAGTTAATGGTTCATGGTTCAATTATAATTCTCTAGACTGTTCGTCAGTCGTGTATGAACCCGTTCATACTTGTGATTAGAATACATGAAAAAAGTATACTAATTAGGGCAAGACGAAGAATGCAAAGAAAAAAATAAAGAAAGGGTAATGGAAGGCGAGTAAAAAATGAAACGAAGAGTAAGTAGATAATGAAAAGGTTTTGACCAATTCTTTTAGTTGGGTATCAAAATGTAAAATGTGCGTTACAGTGACGAAGCTGTAATTTAATTAAATTTGAGTTTGGGGTATTAAAATGTAAAATTTACATCATAGTGACTAAGTTATAATTTAATTAAATTTGGGGTGTCAAAATGTAAGAAAATGTATATTATAGTGACTAAGTTGTAATTTAATTAAATTTGGGTATGGGATATCAAAATGTGAAATGTATATTATAGTGACTAAATTGTGATTTAATTAAATTTGAGGTATTAAAATGTAAGTTTTTATGCAATAATAACTTGACTTTAGCTTTATATATAGTAATATATATAAATGTGAAATTTCTTTACTGTTGTCTAATTATTTTCATTTTGGTACCCAAATTTAATTAAGGCACAACTTTGTTATTATAATGTATGTTTTACATTTTGATACTTTAAAATTAATTTTAATATAAAATCATTGAACAATTATGTTTTGGTATCTAAATTTTATGAGATTTTCGTACCTATAAGTTTTTAAATTTACATATTGGTCCAATTTTTTAGATTTCACTTGAATCCATAAATTCAATCCACCATAACATAAAAGTATAAATTTAGTTTGTACAATACAAGATGTTGTATCACTCAAATTTTAGGAGAAGATTCGACCATTTTATATTTTCCCATTACATAAATCATTAAATAAATGATAAAATAGAAAATACTCTAAAATATTAAAAGAGCGAATTTATAAACTCATTTAGTACATTTACGGGGTAGTAAACAAACTTCTACTAACTACATGTAACAAAATATGCGACATCTACATAAGCAAGTGTCAATAAATTGATACGGTGAAAAGGGTTGATTGTTGTATTGACGTTCAATTAAAAGAATTGGTCAAAAATTTTCCATCGTCTACTTCCTCTTCATTTCATTTTTCGCTCGCCTTCAATAGCCCTTTCTTTATTTCTTTCATTGCCTTCTTCGTCTAACCCTAATTAGTATACTATTTTTATGTATTCTAATCACGAGTATAAACAGGTCCATAAACGACTCACCAACAGTCTAGAGAACTAATAATTGCACCATTAACCACTCACTTTTTCAGCTCAATGTCCAGTCCAATAAAAAAAATAAATAAATATGATTAATACTTATTAGAATGTCGTCATTTTCTACTATGGTATTCGAGAGCATGAAATTTTAAACGAGTTACAGTTTGTATTCCGTTTGCTTCTCTCTATAGTTTTTCTTTTCAACCGGGCAAGAATTTTCAACAATTATAAATGGAATGTTTGGCTAGGTATCTACACATCAAATAAATAATTTTCATTTTCTATAAAAAAAGTAAATAACTATCATCTTTTTTTTTGTGTATTACATTTCGGTACCTCGACTTTTAAAGTTCTACAAATAGGTTTAATTTTGGTATGTGTAATTAAAACACTCTCAAATAAATGAGTATCCATACCCAACTCATACACATTTAGATTATAAAAGTAAATATCCAAACCCTACCCAAACCCATCTACAAACTTTTCATATATCTCTTCTCAGTCAATATCATATGGTCAAGTGAATATTACTAACAAAACTACTAACAAAAAATTAATTTTAGACTAATAATACTAACAGAACACCATAACGAGCCACATAATACATACACATAGGCCATCTCCGCCCGCAAAGGGGCAACATCGCCACCTATTTATATAATAATTATAAAATTCCATCGTGAAACTATATAGCCCAACCAGCCAGGAATTGGATAAACGATAAGAAAATAACCACACTTCAAAACACTAGCTAGAAAATACGAAAGCAATTCCCTACCCTCTCCATTGAAGCTATATACATACTGCACCCCAACATAATATATTGGCATGAACAGATAGATAAATCGTGAAACAGATAGTTTGACTGGTGCGCCATATCTGTTAAACAAATAGCAACATACCCCAAGACGATCTCAACAAGAATATAAGTCTAGTGTGGAAGAACAAAAGGGTAAAAGCTTGAGTACTTAAAATTAATTAACCTTTTACTTTCGCGATAAATACCTACGAATATCAGCATCAAGAAACAAACGATTAGGGTGGGATCCTTTACATGTCCAATTATCACGGCCTCCGCTACACAGATAATCTGTCCAGCCAAGGTCCTCGACTAACTTCTTTAATGATGCTGTCATCTTACCCTCGTCGTCGTCGTCTTCTTCTTCTTCTTCTGTGCCAGAATCAGAATCAACATTGTCACATCGACGCATTATCTCATCCACATCCTGAAACAATATTAATTATGGCATACTATCATTAAATAAAATGAATACACAAGAAGGTCAGTGTATATAACATAAACCTTTATACTATCTACGTATATATAATAACAATATAAAACTCCAAAGCAAAGAACTGAGAGAAGTTTAAACGAAGACAAGAAAGAATAGGCAACCCTAAAGCCCTACTAGGGCGCAACAGATTGGCACAAACATGCGCGAGAACTGATCATTCACCTTAATTTCCCTTCACAAAACAAAAGGGTAAAAGCTTGAGCGCCTACAAATTAATTACCGTTTCTTCTCCTTGTTCCTCTTCAACACAACACATATAATCTGTCCTGTCAAAGGGTTGAAGGGCAACATCAATACTCCTCTTTTTGCCCTTGACTGACTTCTCTACTGATGATGTTGTCTTATTGTCGCCTTCTTCTTCTTCTTCTTCTGAAGAGCTACAGGCCGGTTCAGAGGTGGTAGCTCCTCCAACAGCAACAACCGTTGAAGCCTCTTTCTTAGTAGACGAGGAGCACTCCAGCAGCTTCCGTTGCTTCTGCTGCTGCAAACACCGCTGCCTCTTCTTGTATTTCATTGCTTTGGACATCAATAACCTTAAACGAAACGCTCCAGGCCACTCTCGATGTGTATTCCCACCCTTAAATTTAAATGGGAATCAAAACCCTAGACTAGATATATAAACCACAAACACACACACACACAAACAGGGAACTCATAACATGCCATGCTGCAGCCATGATGCAGATCAAAGGAGCGGGGAAAACAGAGACTTACAATGATTTTTGCCGATCTCTTCTTCATGTTTTCTTCAGTCGGCGAATGAGGAGAGGAAGAGAACGAGCGGCCGGCTGGGGGGGGAGAGACGATCGATCGAGTTGTTTTAAGGGACTTGGGGTGGGGTTTACTGGAACAAGATGGGCCGTTGGGGTGGGCTACAAGTACAACACACACAAGGACTGGGCTGGTGGGCTGGCGTCTTCACCTTATAGTTTTTACTTCTATATCGTATTCCACGTGTTCGGTGAATTTAATTGACTAAATTACATCATATTTATTGTCATTTCGTTAATTTTAAAAAAAAAATCTTTATTTTAAAGCTGACTGAGAATAAGGTAACTTCTCATTTCAAATTTTGTGACACGCTAGATTAGGGATGGCAAAAATATCTGTAATTCTGGATATCCGCCCGAATCCGGCCTAATCGGGTAGGGTAAAATCCGAACCCGAAAGACATTTAGTGGGTACGGATAAAACTCGAACCCGAATATTGCGGGTAATGGGTGCACATGGGTTTCTCATTATCCAACCCGAACCCGCCAGATTATACACATGCATATGTATTTTGTCTAGAAATAATCATTATTTTTCTCTAATATATTTTATATTTAGCATATAAGTATAATATTTTGATGAAATTGTGTTATTTTAATTATATTTCTTCATTCTAGTGAATTATTGTCGTACTTTTCCTCTTACGTAATGTGAGAATATGTATGAATTTCAACATATTGGTTGGAGTTATGAAGAGAAATTACTATCCATGGATAACCTTGGATACCCAAAACCCGAACGGGTATGGACATGGTTTTGATTTTCTACCCGTTTCACATGTGGGTATGGGTATGGGTAAAACGCGAACGACTTTGGATAGGGTAACGGATATGCATTATCCGTCTCCGACCCGACCCATTGCCATCCCTACGCTAGATGTGATGTAGAATTATTAAATTGATATTAATTTCTAGAATTAAAGCAACGATATTGTTATGCAAATTGTAAGTGATCAGTTTTTTGAAAGGTTTAGTTTGGTTAAACGTTAAATCCTATATCTCTTGATAATTTATCATGATTGGACAAATGGATGAATTTAATAGAACACAATTTCTTAATACCAATTTTTTTTAGATGATTTCAATTATTGAAATCTTTTATCTTATATGGTAATTGACAGTATGTATCATTCATAGTTACTTAGTTTAATATGAAATCACCGCAGTACAAGACAAATCGTGAAAGTTGGGCTGGAGTTTTCATGAACGCATTGATGTGGTCATGTGCATTAGCAAGGTAGGTACTACAAGATAGATTTAATGTTTTTGTTGAGTGAATAAGATTGTCCTTCAACTAAATTTATAGTATATGGTTGATCAATAATTTTTTCAACTAGATTCGGGAGACACTCTATCCCTAGGTTGCAAGCCTTTGCCAGCTTACGAGGAACTCGTTACTTGCTTTATCAACTTTTTGTGTGCTGATTTTGCAGAGGCCATGGCCAGACAAAGCTTCATGATCACTGCTTGCCCATGCTTTGGAGTTTTATATTGTTATATATACGTACACAGTATAAAGTTTTGTGTTATATACACTGTCTTGTGTATTCATTTTATCAACTTTTTGTGTGCCTGATTTTGCAGAGGCCATGGCCGGACAAAGCTTCATGATCAGTACTGCTTGCCTATGTTTTGGAGTTTTATATTGTTATATATACATGTGTATGTCAAGAACCAGTTGCTCCCAATAATTTGAGTTGTTGGGAGAAGTTCAATCGTGGATCATATACCACAACACTAACAGTGTATTTATTTTATCTAATGATAGTATGCCATAATTACTATTGCTTCAGGATGTGGATGAGATAATGCATCGATACGACAATGTTGATTCTGATTCTGGCGAAGACGAAGAAGAAGAAGGCAATGATAAGACGACATCATCAGTAAAGAAGTCACTCGAGGAGTTCTCTAGATGGACAGATTCTATAAGTAGCGGAGACCATGCTCATTGGAGACGTGAAAGGTTTTATCCAATGTTTGCTGCAAGGTTTCGCCCTTGTATGTATCCTGAAGCTTATCTTCGCAGTGTTCATGTTGAGAAAATGAAGGTAATTAATTTACGGCGCTCAATCTTTCACCCTTTTGTTCCACACTAGACTTACTTTCTTGTTGAGCTCGATCGTACGTCATTTAAGGCGGCTGATCTTGTCAGAGATTAGTTTTCCTGCATGTTTTTTTTTTTTTTTTTTTGCGAACCTGTTGTGGCCCTTAGGGTTTGCCTATGCTTTCTTGTCTTGGTTTAAGCTTGTCGGTCTATGGCTTTGGAATTTTACATTATTATTGTTATTATTGTTTACATATAACAAAGTTTGTGTTATATACATACACTAAATGTCATCTAATCCTATGATAATTGTGTTCTTCAGCTGGATGAGAGAATTTACAAATACACACAATCTTTTATATTAGAGTAGAATTTACCTCGTCCAAGTTATGAACACGGTACAGGATGTGTTCTGTTTCCCATCAACAATCTTTATATCTTCCTCATAAACATTGAACAATGTCTTTTTTCTTCTCAACATCACGATCATCTCTAGCACCAAATTGGTACCTCCACCATTAGTAGTGTCCTTGTTGACCCTTTTGCTATATAAATATCCACATCAATAATGGTTGCATTAGCTAACTATTGTTGTGTGTAATGTGGTTGTACAATTCCACAGAAGTACTCATCTGAGTAATCTTCGAGTTTTTGTGCATAGGTTTCATACACAACATAGCACCACACACTCTTAACTTTGACAACTTTGCATTTGACGACATATTTCCGTACATATTATAGAAAGTGCTGGTATTCGATACTTAATGGGGTTGTTTTGATCTAAACTGATATTTACCTCTTCTCCATCTTTCATTTTTTTTTATTTAGCTCATGTACTGATTTGGTTGGGATTAAATGTTGATGTTTTTTCTGCGCTTTTCAATGGAGGAGTTGGTGCATCGCTGTCAATTTTTTAACAAACAAATGGTTACGAATCCTTTTTCTTTTTTAAACTTAAAACTTATAGCGCGTAACCAAATACGATGATTAAATTGCCATGAACATCATCGTGGCACAAAACAAATGACTTATGTAATTCTTGGATTCGCCAACAACATGGTTGCTCCAGTCGAGGAGAAGGTGTTCTCGCCTTGAAATTTGACAATCATTTAATTCATTGTCATTAATTTAATTTCAAAATTTAGGATTTATAAAGCAATTTATATATTACCTATTTAAGGAGAAACATATAATGATGTAATGACCAGGATGAGAGGCGATCACTCGCATTTGCAAGGATGATATGTAATAAGGTAACTATCCTACGAAAGAGAGTTACTTTGAAACCCAATACCCTGGATCCAAATTATATATTATATTTGAGATTGGAGTTAAAGTAATGCATGCTATTTTAAACAAAAAGCTAAAACGAATTACATAGGGATGGCAAAAATATCCGTAACCGTGGATATCCACCCGAACCCGGCCTAATCGGGTAGGGTAAAACCCGAACCCGAAGGACATTTAGTGGGTACGGGTAAAACCCGAACCCGAATATTGCGGGTAATGGGTGGGCATGAGTTTCTCAGTATCCAACCCGAACCCGCCCGATTATACATATACATATGTATTTTGTCTAGAAATAGTCATTATTTTTCTCCAACATATTTTATATTTAGCATATAAATATAATATTTTCATGAAATTGTGTTGTTTTAATTAATTTTCTTCATTCTAGTGAATTATTGTCATACTTTTCCTCTTGCGTAATGTGAGAATACGTGTGAATGTTAACATATTAGTTGGAGTTATGAAGAGAAATCATTACCTATGGATAACCGTGGATACCCGAAACCCGAACGGGTATGGGCATGGTTTTAATTTTCTACCCGTTTTATATGTGGGTATGGGTATGGGTAAAACCCGAACTACTTTGGGTAGGGTAACGGATATGCACTATCCGTCCCCGACCCATTGCCATCCCTAGAATTACATACTCGGGAAATTTTAATTGGTACTCTTTGTGGTTAACTTTTTCAGAATAGTGAAAGTTGTGGTTCTAAATGCATCAATTGAAGTAAGTTAGAATTGTGAATAGTAATTTGAACCTAAAAGAGATTTGATGAAATTAAACTTGTAAGCTGGTATGGCTGGATTACTCTCACATATGCATGAGTCTCGGTATTTGATTCAAACTTGATGACTAATTTTTGTAATGGGCATGTAACCATCTGTTCTCTTAACTTGTAAGTTGTTCATCTCATTTTTAAGTCATGTATAGAAATGATAAAATAAGCAATCTTAGCAGGTAACACATAATTTTATAACATATAAAGAAAACAAATCAATGGATTATCGGTTGAAATGATGACTTTTTCATATATATATATATATATATATATATATATATATATATATATGGCGAGTTCTACGGTACCCTGGGTGAAATCCGGGGTACCGCATACCTTGAGTATGAAAACACTATTTAAACCTTGAATTGACCGATCTTTCGAACATGATACTATACTCTAACACTTAAAGATCAAAATCTAGGTGTTAACTCTCCCAATATTATACTCCAAGATCAATTTAATTAGAAATAATAATCGACGGTTATGATTCATCCAAATATAGGCACAAAAAGGAATGCACCATCTTAGGGTTTATAGATTATGATTTAGATAATTATGACCTAGGGTTCACTCATTAAGGGTTAGGGTATAATATCAAACACAAAAATCCTGGTAATTCGAGGTCTAGAAAGAGTTT